GGGCTGAACCCCCGAACCAGCAGCGCTGAGCCCCCCGAACCAGCAGCGCTGAGCAATTATGGGCCAGACCCTGGGGACCCAGGCTCCGGCAGGGGGAGATGGGGCTGTGAGGCTGAAGCCCAGAAGAGCGGTGAAAAGCAGGGCCCCCGGAGTCGCGCGCAATGCGCAAGCAGAGGACTGAATGTTGACTCTGATGCTGGGTTACCCTAGACGGAAGAAACAAGGCCTCCAGCGGCGCTGAGCCTCAGTCCGGACTGCTCCGAACCCCAGTTCTGGGCCAATCCCTGGGGACCCAGGCTCAGGCAGAGGGAGACAGGGCTGTGAGCTGGAACCTGGGGAGAGCGGCGAAAGGCCGGGCCCCTGGACTCGCGCACACTGCGCGCAGAGGACAGTCTGTTGACTCTGATGCTGGACTCCCCTAGTGGGAAGGAGAAAAAAAGCTCCAGGCTGGGGGAACGCGGCAGGGAGCGGAAGCCCCTGCTGGACGCCCGCCAACTGGGCACCAGCAAGGAGGCGGGTGACGGGGCCCCTTGCGGGGTGGGTGCCCCTGAGCCTTCGACCGCTGAGCGCGGGCAATGGAGCCAAGGCCAGGGGCTGCTTCCTGGGCAGCACCATCCCCTGCAACAGGCTGAAGCAGCGCAGGAGCCCGCGGAGAACAAAGGGGTGCCACAAGCCAACCTGCTGAGCTCCCAGGACAAGGAAGAAGAAACCAAAGAAGTTCTCAATGTGAAGAAATCAAGTGAGAACAAAAGATAGTAAAATTACTTAAGAAAGAATACAAAGAAGTTCTTGAAAAATCAAAGACTAAGTCAGAACTCAACTCACCAGCCAACATTGCAACATAAATGCGTTTTTTTAAAAAAAAGAAAAAAAAGGGACAGAATGTTGGAACAGCAGCGGCCAGGCCTAGAGTGGCCAGGCACAAGGCAGTGGCAGCCAGGCCCGGAGCAGCAATGGCCAGGCCCCAGAGCAGCAGCAGCCAGAACCAGAGCATCAACACCCAGCACTGGAGCAGCCAGACCTGGGGCAGTGGCAGCCAGGCCTGAGGCGGAGGCAGCCAAGCCCAGGGTGGCCAGTCCAGGAACACCCAGACCCGAAGTGGCTGGGCCCGGAGAAGCCGGGCCCAGAGCAGCCGGGGTGGGAGCAGCCAGACCCAGAACAGCAGTAGCCAAGCCCAGAGCATCCAGGTCAGGAGTGGCCAGGCTCAGAGCGGCCTGGCCCGGGCAGCCGGGCCCAGAGCAGCTGGGTCGGGTGCGGCAGGCCCGGAGCAGCAGCTGCCAGGCTGGGAGCGGCCAGGCCCGGGGGAGCAGCCGGGTCGGGTGTGGCCAGGCCCGGAGCAGCAGCAGCCAAGTCCACAGCAACTAGGTCGGAAGCGGCAGTGACCAGACCTGGAGCAGCTGGTTGTGGAACAAACCAGAGCAACAGAGGCCAGACCCTGAGCAGCCAGGCCCGGAACAGCTCGCTCCTCGCCTGCCCCCACTCCACGGCTGCCTCTCAGACATGGCTGGAAACTTTCGTGGGAACTTGAGGGTCTGCTGAATCAAGTGATGAAGGCTTAGATCTGGATGTGTTGAGTTAGTATAGGGCTGGAGTGTTGATCTGTGAGTGCCTTGGGTGGGGCCTGGATGAGGCTGGTGGACCTATTGGGAAATGTCTTTTGTGTGAAGTGTATCATTGGGCATGTGGACGTATTATTGATATGAGAAAATGCTAAATAACTGATTTACTATCTGAAAAGGGATTTACTATCCGGGAAAGGGAGGGAAGAAGAGACTGAACATAAACTGTGCACCTATGGATGAGGACAATGGGGGATGGGGAGGGGGGGGGAAGGGGGGGTGGGAACCTGGTGGAGGGGGGAAGAAATGAGGAACCTTTGTAATAATATGAACAATAAAGATTGATTTAAAAAAAATAAAAAAATAAAACTCAGTGAATATTTTTAAAAAATGCTGAATTATCTAGGTAAAGTAACACATTGTAGAAGACAGTTAATTTCTCTAATCTGCTGCTATTCTGCATTTTTCTTTATGTTATGAATCATAAGGATTCTAATTGGCTCCTTCAAAATTTCAGTGATCAAGAAATATATAATGATTTTCATAGAAGATTCTGTTTTTCAGTCTGTCCCAAAACCCACTTCCCCAGGGCTCCATTTTAGGTGATATGGGTAACCAACCACAGGGTTGTCACATTACCTGAGCTAGTCCAAGTACTCCCATGTCTGAACTCAAGTCCAGAGATGGGAATATGAGATCATAGTGTGTTTTTTCTGGAATGAAACCATCTCTGGGCATCTTAGATTTCTAAGCTACTATACCATATTACCACAAACGGGATGGTTTATAACAACAGGAATTTATTCTTTCAGAGTTCTATAGGTTAGAAATCCTAAAGCAAGGTGGTGGCAGGGCCATGTGGGGAAGAATCTTTCCATGACTCTTCCTGGTTTCTGATGGTGCCAGCAGTTCGTGGCTTGTAGCCATATCACTCTAACCTCTGCTTGGGTTATCGCATGGCCACATCCCCCTCTATCTCTGTACCTGGGACTTCACAGGTGTTCTCCTTTCTGTGTATGTCTCTAGTCTCTTGTCTTTTTACAAAAGTTCCTATCATACTGGATTAAAGGCCTACACTACTTCATTATGTCCTCCTTTATAGTTATATCTTAATTACATCTACAGACCCTATTCCCAAAAGAGATCATAGTCACAGGTACCAGGAACAGGACTTCCATATACTTTAGGGGGGACACAAATGAACTCATAACACTAAATGAATAAGAGTTTCTCCCACTGATTGCCATGTAAGCCTGCCCACACACCAGAGAAGTAAACAGAACCACGAGATAGAGAAAGACCGGAAAGGAAGGGCCCTATGCTATTCAATTCCTTGAATGCTTCTATGTGCCAAGCCCAGTTCACTTCTTGGATTTCCCAACAGCATGACCAACAAAATACCTTTCTTATTTAAATCCATTTGGAATGGATTTCTGACACAATCAAGAGTTCTAACTAATATATCTACCAATGAACAATACTATATGATTGGCATGAGCAACTACTGTTGAAATTAAGTGATGGGTATATAGGAGCTTATTATTATAGTAATATACACTGAGTGGCCCTATTATTATGATTTCTGAATGCATAATAATCTGGCCACTCAGTGTTTGTGTGTGTGTGTGTGTGTGTGTGTGTGTGTGTATAGATAGATAAATAGATATTAGAGGCGGCCCGATGCATGAATTTGTGCATGGCTGGTCAGGTGGAAGGGACATGGGTGGTTGGCCAGCCTGCCTGCTGGTTGAACTCTTGGTCAAGGGGACATTTGCATATTAGCCTTTTATTATATGGTATATACACTGAATGGCCAGATTACTTTGTGTTCATAGATCATAATAATCTGGCCACTCAGAGAGAGTGTGTGTGTGTGTGTGTGTGTGTGTGTGTGTGTGTGTGTATCCTATCTAATAAACAGTAATATGCATATTGACTATCACTCCAACATACAAGATGGCTGCCCCCATTGACAAAGATGGCTGCCCCCATGTGGACACAAGATGGCCACGACAAGATGGCTGGCAGGGGAGAGCAGTTAGGGGTGATCGGACCAGCAGAGGAAGGCAGTTGAAAGCAACCAGGCCTGCAGGGGAGAACAGTTGGAGGAGGACCAAGCCTTCAGGAGAGGACAGTTTAGGGGAAGCAGGCCTGCAAGGGAGGGCAGTTGGGGTGGGCCAGACCTGCAGGGAAGAGCAGTTGTGAGGAACAGGCCTGTAGGAGAGAGCAGTTGGGGTGACCAGGCCTGCAGAGGAAGGCAGTTAGGGTAGACTGGGTGAGCAGGAGAGGGCAATTAGGGGAAACCAGGCCAGCAAGGGAGGGCAGTTTGGGGTCACCGGGCCTGCAGGGGAGAGAAGTTTGGGGGATGAGGTCGGCAGGGGAGCAGTTAGGCATCAATCAGACTGGCAGGGGAGTGGTTAGGGGGTGATCAGGCTGGCAGGCTAAAGCAGTTAGGGGAAATCAGGCAGGCAGGCGACTGATTGGGAGCAGGCAGTCCTGGATTGTGAGAGGGATGTCTGACTGCTGTTTAGGACCGATCCCATCAGGACCGGACCTAAATGGGCAGTCAGACATCCCTTTACGGGTCCCAGAATGGAGAGGGTACAGGCTTCAGGCAGGCTGGGCTGAGGCCCCTCACCCCCCGACCCCCGTGCATGAATTTCATATATATATATATAACTTTCTAAAATGAAAAGTTAAATGTTAAATCTAGGGTTAAAAACAAATTTCCCCAAGACTCATGCTTAAAATCTAGCACAACTTTGGAGCCTGCTTGCTTTGTGATGGAAAGAAACAGCTCAAAATTTAACACTTCTCAATCTAAAACCCATGCTAACATCTGGATTTCAACAAAGATAAATGGTTCCGGGACCCAGAGAAGCACTGACAAGCTCTACCAAAATTGGATCTTCTGTCAGTTTGAAACAGCAGGAACCTTTGTCTATGGACAATGCCTGCCTATCACATTTCATCTCTGGAAATAGCATGTGAGGCTCCTCTCCCCCAACCAGGGAAGTCAAACAAATGTTAACGCTGCATTCCTGCAGTTTTCTTAAGCCATCACACCAGCCTGGCAGCAGAAATCAAGGAAAGGGGGAACTCCATCCTGCTCACTCCTCACAACTTTAGTTTGAACCTCTTGCTCTAACCCATACCCCTCAAGCCCTGTCCTGACACACTCACCCTGCCTCCTCAGATTCTGCTTGTTCTATTAATGTCTCACCCATCTGACTGATGGTCCAGAGATCACCTGAGCTGGTCTACCTTTAGTGAAGACCTCTGCAAGCACCGCTCTGCCCAGTGGTCATATTCCCTCCTCTATTGCCACTCTGGTAAGGATGACCAATTCCTCCAGCATCAACCTGAAGGCAACAGGATTAAAAAAAAAAAAAAAAAACAGACAAAAATAATTCCTACAGACAGGGCTGGGTTTATACTTACCTTCTGCAAATGGTTCCCATTCATAAAAGCGGCCCATGAATGGCTTGTTGTTGTAGGATGCACACTGTACCTCCCGAATACTCCTACTGCTTTCTGGACACACCTAATAAAGCAAATAGTAAATATGCGATTAGTGTCCACATATATCTTTCTATAGCCCCGGTCAAATCCCAGGAGACTGCTCCAACTTTAAATACCAGTACTCCTCTAGCAAAACCAGGACTTCTGAAAATGTGCTGATTTTACCTACATCAAAAATTTTAAATACAAATTCTAAGGCTTCATTCCTAGTTCACTAAATCAGAATCTTTTTAAAGACACTAAATTTTAGCAACTCCCCAGTTAAGTTTTAGAATCTGAAAACCACTAACCTAAACCTTCTGCTCCTGACAAGTTGGTCTGCTCACTTCCCTCTAAGAGGTCATCCATTTCTCTTTTTGGTCATGCCATTCATGGTACAGCATAATATTCTCAGAAAACATGTATAGAGAGCCCTTACCCTGTGCAGGCACTGCTTTAAACATGTTGACTTATTTAATCCTCACAACAACCAATGAGGCAGATAGGAGAGTTTGCAGACTTCTCACAGATGAGCAAACTGAACATGGAGGAGCCACACAGCCAGCGAGGCCAAAGGCTGGATTTAACTCCAAGCAGTCTGGTCCCCACCAGGCTGCATCTCAGTGTCCTCCCCACCTTGTTTACATTCTGGTCTAAATTCTCTCCACCACCTAATGAAGGACCTTGCAGCCTTTAGCATACAAAAGCATCACCCAGAGATCTCCTGGAAATGCAAATTCCTACATCCCTCTCCCAAGGCTTATTCTTCAGTAAGCCTGGGATGAGATCCAGAAATATGTATTTATCTAATTATCCAGGTGATTCTGATACTCTCAACTAGTCAAAAAAAATTCAGCTCCCTATGGCTTATTTCTTATTTGTAAATACTACAAAAGAGCAAAGAGTGACATAAAATACATAAATGTGAAGTAAGATAGTAAGATCAGGATCTCTTATCCAAATCATGGATAAAGTATGATTAAGTGCAATATATATATATATATATATATATATATATATATATATATATATATATAGAGAGAGAGAGAGAGAGAGAGAGAGAGAGAGAGAGATTTAGATTTCAAAGAGGAAGGGAGAGGGAGAGAGAGCTAGAAACATCAATGATGAGAATCATTGATCAGCTTCCTCCTGCACGCCCCCTACTGGGGACCAAACCCACAACCTGAACATGTGCCCTTGACTACAATCAAATCCATGGCCCTCAGTCTCCTAGCTGACGCTCTATCCACTGAGGCAAGCCAGCCAGGGCTGATCAAGCACTGTTAAACCTAGCTACACTCTGTTTAAGTGTGGAGTGTGTGTGACAGTGTGTGTTTTAATAATTAGGAAGGAGAAGAAATGAATCTGGCCCTTTAAATATTAAAACCCTGTATATAAGAAGTCTTTGGAATAAACTGTATATATCAGAAACACCATGTTTCCTGGAAGATGAGAGAACAGCAAAAGGAATGAAACCAGGTAGGAGGAGAGCATCTCCTGCTCAACAAGGGCAGTCGGGGAAGCTGCTGGTACAACCCTGCAGCAGCCTGAGCCAAAATGCATGGAGCAAAAAGCCATGCAAAGTAGAACATGATGGAGACTGGTGGGAAAAATGAGCTCTGACATCAGTGAGTAGCTGACAGGCCAGAAGGGCTCTGGAAGCCATGCTACTGGAGGCCCAAAAGTCGAATGCCAGGTGTCCAGGAAAGATTTGGTGTTAATACCTTTTACAATCTTTTGGCCTAGGTTGTGATTCATGGATGTGATTCAAGTAGGATGTGATCAAGTTGGGCAGCTTGAGAGAAGTCATCATCCTTGCAACCATAAGCAATCACAGGGCTTTTGCTAAAAATACAGATTCTCAGGCCTCACACCATGAGAGGATGGGGGAAAAGGCCTAGGAATAGATGCTGGACTTGCTCTCTAAGGTGCCTCTGGTGCAGAGTCACATTTCATTTCACATTAGTTATGGGTTAAGTGAGTCCTTTCCTGATACCAGACTGCACAGTCACACCCAAACCTCAATCTCACTCCAAATTCTGTAATATGCAATCATAAAGTGGTAGAGCTGTGAGAATCAATTCCAACCCCTTTGAGGAAACTGAGGTCTGGAAAAGTGACATACTTTGCCAAAAGCTCCACAGTGATCAGAGACAGAGTCCAGAGCACTGTCACCCACTCTGGCTATAAAAAAAAAAGAGATCAACTGCTGGGTGGCAGATTTTCTAAGAAAACCAGACCAGAGCAAGTAGGCTAAATGTCCTTTTCTCAAATAACCACACCTATGTAAAGCAACCTACTCTGCCATGAGGCCTCAGCAAGAAACTACCTTAATTAATCTGCTGGCAGTTACCAGAATTGGAAGCTGCAGACCACATTTGGCCAGTCTGCTTAATCCCTTTCTCTGAACCCATGAACCATCAGAATCATTGTGAGTTGTTCAGAATTTGATGATATAAATGTCTATTTTACCTACAACACATTAAGTGAAAAAAGTGCTAAAATGATTATGTGGTGTGTGTGTGTGTGTGTGTGTGTGTGTGTGTGTGTGTGTGTGTGTGTAAAGAGAGAGAGAAGTCTAAAGTGTTATCTCCAGAAGGTGGGTTATAGACATTTTCTCTTCACAATTAACTTTTGGTTTATTTATACTAACTTTTCTGCAGTAAATATGTAATAATTATATAATAAAATATATATCAGAGTTGAGCTCTCCCAAACACATTTGGCCTTTAGCCACTTCACCTGTGCTTCTAATTTATAACCTCATGGTGTGTTTCACTGTCTCACTACTGCCTGGTGCTGAGTACATTCATATGCATCTGCCAAGCCAACCAGTTATAGATGGGTCATTCAGGATCCCCTTTCTCTGGTTATCAACAAGTACTTTATATTTGAGCACAATCTGAGGCAGGAGGACTTAGGTGGCATTCATTTCACAGTAGAGGGTCACCTACAATTGTCAGGAATCAGCCAAGCCCAAAGGTTGACTATCCAACTAGCAGTTAGCATGGGGAGGTACAGTAGGAAGTAACAAGGTACCCTAGTGATCCTGAGCAGGGACCCACATGATGACAGGCAAGCTGCCAGTTAGAAGTAAGGCACTACTTCCTGGAAAGGAGAGGGACCTGGTAAGAGAAATGCAAGGCTCACAGGGCCCAGCTGTGGAAGTGAGTTACTGAGACAGAATTATGGTGCAAATGAAAAAGCAGAAGCCTGTGTGGTGGTGGTGATGATGATATTAAGAACAGATAACTTTTATTGAGTACTTACTAAATGACAGACACTCCACCATGTGATTTATGTACATTAGTTCAATTAATCCTCATGACACTTACTCAACTCATTTTACAGATAAGGAAACAAAGACAACAAAAAGTTAAATGAACTGCCCAAGATCATGTATAGGGCTAATAAATGGTGGAGTCAATATCTGAACCCAGGCACTTTGTGTCTAGAACACATGCTAGTAACCACTATGCCATGATAGCCCTTGAGATTGTGTGGACAGCAAAGTTAATAAACAAAGAATTTTCAGTCAAGAGGGCCTTGAATGCTGTCAGGAGATATCCTAGAGGCCAAGGTCAGATTCAGCCTCTGAGGTAGGTGAAGTGGTCCCAGTGTCAGGAGCTGGAAGTGGGCTGAGGATGAAAACCAAGCTAGGCTGGAGAAAATGTTTCAGGTTTCTTTTGTAGTTTAGATTTGTTTTTGCTTGTTATACTATTATCATTACATGATCTCTCAGTTTACAGGCTCTCTAAAATTAACATTTTATTTCACATTACTTATGGGTTAAGTGGGCCCTTTCCTGATACCATAGACTGAGTCATCCGCACCTTATCAGTAACTGTTTGTTTTACACTGTGAGCTAGATTTGGCAGATTTTCTGCAGACAGCAGATTCTTTCCATGGTCACAAATTCTTGGAATTTTCAGGCCAGAAAACTGTAACAGGAAAAAAGTCATGTTGATAGAGATCAGGCTCACTCAGGGTAGGGCCAGTAAAGACGAGCTTTGGAGCCAAGTGATACCCTCTGGGAAATAAACTCCTTCAAATGAGTCTCTTCTGCTCTAAGAAGGAGAGATATATCCTCTGGTCTCATATAGAAAGAGGAAGAAAGATGTACTTTAATATAAAACTCGCAGGTCCTGTCCAAAGTTCCATTTAGACAACTGTCCGGGGTTGCTATGAGTCATAGAGTGTGTTATGGAATCTGGGGCTGTGTTTCCAGTGACCCTGGTTAATAAGAGATAACAATGAACTCTACCCATTTTCACTGTTCAAGAGGCCACTGTTGGTGATCACACAGTTAATTTTTGGTATTTAATTACTTTCAGTTCCCCAGGAGACTAAAAAGCATCACCTGCAATGAAAGTGACACCAGGGAATATGAACTTGAAGTGTGCCTGAGTAAAATATGCACTTTTTTAACCATTTGCATTGCTCTGGGTTCAATCAAAACACCAGCTATCATAGCATCATATGATGTGTTTAACATCACCACAATGAGGAAATCTAAAAAAAATAAATAAATAAAAAATCTAAAAACTATCCCCACAGTACCATAAGAAAGTGGCTATGACCTCAGGCAAAGCACTTTGGTTCTCTAAACCTAAATTATTCTATCAATCCCACCTCCCAGGGATTTTGTGAGAATTAAATTAGTAATACATTAAAATTTTTAGCTCATAGCAATGCTCAATAAATGTTAGCTGAATTGGAATATAAATAGACATCACAGATGAAAACACCAGTTCCAGAAGCTGTAAATTCATAAAAGGTAGATGTTTGGAGCAAATATCTTCTCCTTTGTTTTCCAGCTGTAGAATAAGGTAACCATAGACCAAAATTTCCTACAAGTAATCCAGCACATATTTCAACAAATATATTTATTATCTGCTTTCTCAAGCTATTTGGAACAAACTCAACTTTGCAAAAACTCTTCTGCCACCCCACCAGTGGCAACACACCTCTCATGGAAAGATAAGAATTTTTATGAAGCCATAATTATCCTAATCTCAAAACTAGACAAAGGCACTACAAAGA